AGATGTAATTTGCATTTAATTTCTGATTTAGAAGAGACAACTCAGTTTTATTAATTTATATCTTTTTGTTAGCATCAAGAGTAGCACCACTTTAGGTAAATTATTTCTTTTACTTCATATTCAGATCAAACTTATTCATCCTACCTATTACTAGAATATAAAAAAGGAAAGGAAACCTTTGGAAGTGAATAATAAATGTTAACATCTGATTACTTGAGAACACTGGCAAGAACTGGTTTTCATTTGTAGAAAATATAAGTAAACTTCTGAATAAAAATAACAATAAAATATAATAATAACAATAATGCTTATGTCCCAGGCACTGCTGTAACCAATGAAAGCATATTAATTGACTTAGTGCTCTCAAGGTCCCAGTGAAGTGGGAATTATTTATATCCCTATTGTATAGCTGCTGAGAAGTTGAGCAATTTACCAAAATCTCTCGGTTAAATTCCATTCTGAAAACTACTGTGCATAACTGCAGTAAGTCAACTACTTGCAAATGTCTATTTGATGGCGCCTTCCCCCTTTGTATTGACTATGTTTCTAACAAGGGAGGTCACTTTTCACTAGGTAATATACCACTGAGAGTCTAAATTTATCTGTAATATTTATGAAAAGACTGCAGAGGCCATGATAATTTTACTGATTACATGAATTTACTGAGAATGCATGTACAGATTAATACAACTCTTGAATGTATTAACATTAATAAATCAGTGCTACACATCTAGAGATCAGTCTTCTGCCATACAACACTTAAATCTGGCTTCAGTAAATGCAGTACTAGTGGTCAGCTCACCACGTATAAAAATCTACATTGCATTGTGTGTGTGTCGGGAGGGGCGTTGATGAGATGGATAATGAGAGGTAGGGGGAAATAAAAATCCATGACGCTGGCCAAGCCATTGTCCCAAAAGAAAAGAAAGAAGAAATCCTTTTTGCTAAATCTGCCATTCAGATGGGGCATATTTTGGCAATAAGTCCACGCTGAGGTAGGACTAGGGGGCACCATTTTGCAGTTCACACAACCATAACATACTGATAGCAGCTACCTAGCAAAACTTGATTTTATACTGAAAGTTCTGGTGTCAATTCAACCAATTAAATAGAACAATGGGTATTACAATTCATTATTCATGATGAAATAAAGCCTAATAAATTCTAATTTTAGAAAATCTCCCAAGTTCTATGCCGATCTACAAAAAAGTGGATTTATTTAACAATTAATTGAATGACCAGATAAATTTCTCAGCAAATGATTGATTTGTGGATCAAACTCAGTTTTAGAGGCAACGTTAATCTAAGCTGTTTAAAAGGAGATTTGGTCAGCAGACATTGTGGGTAGGGAATACAGGTGTGAAAGATTACCTACATATGGTTTCTACATCTACCACAAAATTGGAGCTCCTAGATATTTGGATTAGATTTCCAATAGAACTGAGAGGAGCTTGAAGATTGAGGAATGACTTTGAGGTGAGTGAAAATAGTAAATATTTAAGTAAACAACTGAGTAAACAACTGAATAAACACTACAGTGGGGTTTGTGAAATCTCAGGTTTGGATCAGAGTTAACCTTACTTGAAACTCTGTATTTAACCATCACCTAAGTCTTTTGCACAGCTCCTTCTACCTGTGTGTATGCAGTGGCATATGAGAAGTTAACTCGACAGTAGTCCTTGGGTATTGGCCTCCGGGTTTAGGATCTGCATGAGTATGTAACACAGCAGCAAAAAAGTTAGCAGGGGAAAATATATATATACTTGAAAACGTGTAGGAAACATGTGAAAATCATGTTCATACGTACAGATATCCTAAAGACAGATGTAATGGGAGTTTTTCAAGGGATGAGATGACAAATAACAAAATCCCAAAGAGAATATATAAGAGTGATTACACAAATTGAAAATGATCAATAAATCTTCTAAGGTCTCCTGTGATTCCAAGGAGTAAAATCCCAATAGTAATCAAGTTTATCATATTGGGAAATGTAGACAGCTCATCTGAAACATAAGAATGCAACAAGACTGTTCCAGAACAGAATATTAGAAATGTTTTTTTAAAATAAAAACTATTGAGAAGGAATTCTGCACTGCATGGCAGATGCTTTATTCTTAATGGATCCCAAAGATGATAATGATGGTTTCTTGTTTAGAAGAATAGATGATAAGCCATACAGGATTTTGAAACAATTATTCTTTTGCAGAATTAGGCAGTGGTAGAAATAGGAAAGAAAACCTACAGTGAAAATAGGACTAATTTTTAGACAATGTCTTGTGGTTTTCAAAGGCCACATCTGTTCTAAAGGCAAAAATAAGAGATTTAATAAAACTCACTTAGGAAGGAAAATGGAGTTTGAATAATAAAAAAAAAAAAATGCTAGCTGTAAGAAACTAAGAATGAATGGGAAGTTAGCATATATGAAGATGTAAAGATGAGGTACCTAAAGTTTTTATTTTAATAATAGAGAATATAATCTTTTGAATAAACAGAGGTGAATAATTATGTTGCTGAAGTGACTGAAGTGTTTATCTGGAGAGGTGAATCTTTGATGCCACGTACCTAAATATGATACACACGCCTGAATGCAGGGAAGATAGGATCCTGGGAAATAAGACAAGATTAAAGAAGGTGGTTAAAGACTATCTTCAGAGATATAATATGAAGAAATAAAATTTTAAAGTATTCCACTCATCTAAGATAAAAAATAATGAGATGAGAATAAATCGAGGAGTTTCTGACTTGGGGGACTAGAAAATTAATATAGGAAATCAAGAAGATCACTGTGATGTCTACTACCATTAAAGTCACTGGGTGAAAAGAAGAATACATATCCTGAAGGGACAGATCACTGCCTGGACACACTTCAAATCATAAATTCAATTTAACTCTCTCCCAAAGTCATCATTAAAGTAATTTATCGGATGTCAGAAGAAATTTTATACTTTCTTCAAGAACTTTAAGAAATATCTTTTAAAACTACAGATTTTAAAAATAGATCAGTCAATATAAAATGTTATTTTCTTTAAATATATTTCAAATTGACCCATTCATCTATATTTTATATATTCCAAGTTGATGAAATTCTTGAGAAGGAACTAAAAAAGGCACAGTAATACTTAATGTGATTGACCTTAATATCAGGATCATAAAAAATTATCCATTTAAAACAGTTTTTGCTAAATTTTCATACCTTATTATTTTTACATAAATTTAGATCATTTTGCTAGACAAAATAATTTTACATATTTATCATTCATCATCGCAGACAAAGCGAGCATCTTTAAAATCATATTATCTCATTTTTGGTATGAACAACAATTATTCTATGGCTTCTGTAGTCATTAGATTCAAGTTACTTCAAATAATAAATTTTATTAATGAAGAGTTTTCTTTCTAGGAACATATTGTAAATTTTCTATATATGGAATTACCTAAAGAATAAAGAAAGTTGGTCACTATGGAAGTAAATTAGTTCTTAAACTTTAGAAGCATTTTTAAGTAATTCATTTTCTACAATTTGAAAATTTGTCAAAAAGTTAAAGCATTAATATTTAAATACATTTTCACAAACTAACAAAAAGTAAAAATTAAATGTTAAAAATGAAGAATACTTGACCAAGAGTATGTAAATCAATATACTCTAACAAATAAAAAATAGATCAATAATGAAACAAAATACAAACAGAAAATTTTTTCTTTTAATGTATTTTCTTCATATTTGGAGGTATATTTGCTACTGCTCTTGGTTAAACAATAGCGATGTAGAATATTTAACATCATCTCTAGGTCACAGTTACTGAAACACTACCCAAATAACATGAAAGTCAATTAAGGTTATAGTTCATATGGACCCCTATATCAAATTCAACTTGGATACTCCATGTCCAAACTTCTTTTAATAAATAAGATACAACTTACTTGAGTAAAAGTAATTTAAGAGCCTAAGCATCTGAATCTTTCTTAATCATAAGCCAGAACTGCAATAAATGATTTGTTTCTATGTAGAATTTTTTTAATTTAACAAGAAGCTGACAGAAACAAGTTTAGAACAAACTGATAATCCTAGTTTGGTAAGAAAAGAAAATAACAATGTTGATCATAAAAATAACTTCTGAATATATGCATCAAAAATGTCTCTCTTAAGACAGTGTGATTGGAATAAACTCATACAAATACCACCTTTCTAGATAAAACTATGCCACATTCTAAATATTTTCCATCACTTAGTGTAGTATACTCTTTCTCTTCACAAATAATGCATCTATGAATTTTTATTGCAGTAAATTTAATTCTAATCACACACACACATTCTGAGAGAGTAAGAGAGAGAGAGGATAAAAAAATAAATCAACCATAAGCAAAACAGAAACAAAATAGTATATTAAGTGAAATTCATTTAAAAATATGAATTTTGCCCTAGGAATATTTTAACTGAAGCATGAACACACACACAGAATTATGACATGTACATATATGTATACATAAAGTACTTTTTATTCTAGATCTTGAAATATCCAATATTATCTGAGTAAGTCATTCAGATATTCAGATGCGATTTCCCCCCACATACACAGGTTGCCTTAAGTATGTATTAGACAGTATATTTTTACTTCCACAAAGACTATCAAATTGCTCTCTGTGCGGGACAATGTGGAACTCTATGATGCTCAGCAGACTATATAGCCACATAATTGCCCCTTCTCACTGCTTCCAGTGAGTCCTGACAGCTCACCAGTTTACAGCAGTGGCAGATGACTAGAAAAAGAAAGTTCTTGTTTTCTAACTTCCTTCCAGAGAAGATTTCCTGAAAATTTAGTATTGAAAAAAAAAAGGCTTATGAATAATGGAATGTACTGCTATACTCAACCAGATTTTATATCCTTGCAGTATTCCTATCACATGCAAAAAGGGCCAGAAGTTGCAAATAAAGCATTGAATTTAAGAACTTCCTAAAGTAATCACAGAAATAAAAACTATGAAAAATCATTTATAATTACCTCTGTTGAGTGACGCTGAACTGTTGATATCCCCAGTAATGAAGGAAGACTCTGACTGCTTTCGGACTGTGTCGTTCCACATTCTACGGATTCGGCTCTTGATGAGGGGAAAGGAAAAGGAAATCAACTCACGAAGCGGGGACTTTTTACAAAAATCATTTTTTTCTTTCTCAATTATATGAGATCTTTGTTTCTGGCATCTGGAAAATATACAACTTCTACATGCTTGCAGTACAGTGGCATTAGAAACTAAATTAATAATAATTGGTTCTAATTAAGTATACTTCTAAATGCCTGTACCCCAAGACAATTGTAATTATGAATAAGAATAAATATAACTTTCTACCAATTTAAACATGCTGAAGATATACATAAATGTCCTCTATACAGGTAGAACATAATAATTTTATTTTTTAAGATAAAACAATTATTTTCATTGTAACTATGATGGGAATGGGATACTTAAATATGCACTAAATTATCAGTATTTATTGACACAATATTTAGTTTAAGAATTTAAAATCCTGCAAGAAAGGGTTTGTTAAGAACATAGAATATTATTAAAATGCTACTGAACCTAATATTTCCATTAATTTTTAAAAAGATCAATGTTATTATCTAGGTTACATACTATCTTGACTTTTCATTTTTTTGAAGGAGATGGAAGGCATTGATTTATTCTTATTCCTTGCTTCACAGAAGGAAGTTTTATACAGAACTGAAAATTCTTACATCATTATTTATATTCTCAAATTCAATATTTTGAGTGTTGGACAATTCAAGAAAACAGTGTTATATTTTTCCATTTTGGGGGGATTATTTTTCTGATTAATTTTATTTTGCTATTATTGAGTTAGGAATCAAAAACTATGAACAATCTTGTGAGGAGGAAACAAAACCTTTTCAAAAGCTTTTTCAAGGATAAATAGTTATAATAACTATTTATAAATAATAGTTATAATAACTATTTATAAATACTACTCATGGTGAAACCAAGCTCACAAATGGGTTTTGTTCCTATTTGGACTCTTTGAATAATAGGATTACCTAATCTAGAAATTGGCTTTATGACTCTAGGGACATGTTTATCCTTCAGCAATATTGTCTATATTGTTATATAAGTCAGCAAACACACACACACACACACACACACACAGAGCAAAACTAATAAACAGAAACACAATAAGAAAACTGGTATAAGGGAGCATTATGCTGTGTGAAATAAGCCAGGCGGTAAAAGACATACTATATGACCTCATTTATAAGTGGATCCTAATAGACAAAACAAACAAGCAAGCAAAATATAACCAGAGACATTGACATAAAGAACAAACCAACAGTAACCAGAGGGGTGGTGGATAGGGGATAATGGAGGAAAGGAGGTGAACGGTCATCAAGGAACATGTATAAAGAACCCATGGACAAAGCCAAAGGTGGGGGGAAATTGAGGGTACGAGGTTAGGGCGGGTGGGGTGGGGGGAAAGTGGTGGCAGGAGAATGGAGACAACTGTACTTGAACAACAATAAAAAATATATAGATAAAAAAGAATTAGTATATTAATATAGTAATGTCATAGGATATAAGGTTAATATACATGAAGCAATTATACTTCCATTACACTAACAACAAAAGAATGGAAATAAATATTTTTTAAATGTTAAAAAACAGAAAACTGGTATAGGATTAGAGACACTGAGAACTTGAGAATGTTGCCATTGAAAAAATATTTCAAAGCTTCCAACTGAAATACTGGGAACAAAGCTTCAACTAAAATATTGGGAGCAATTATTGAGAACATTTGTTTTATTGTTAATTAATGAATTAAAAATATTAAGTACCCTTTATTATTTGCCAAATATTAACCTAGGAAATACAATGGGAAAAGGAAACCCAAAATGTCTAATAATGTGCCCACAAGTCTCCACAGAAGCATTCATTATTACAGCTCAAAACTATCAACAACCCAAATAACTTTCAAAGGTAGAATGAATAAATACATTAAAGAATGATTACAAAGCCATAAAATTAAAAAAGGAACTTAGCCTCCTGCAGCAATGTAGAGTCCAAGAAAGGAAAGAAAGAAAAAAAAAGAATATGTCCTGGATGATATCTTGTGAATAAGTATCAAACACATGCAAAACAAAATGTAATGACAAACACTGAGATAGTCACTTATATTTGAAAGTGGATGATTGAGAAGGGTTCAAAGGGTTTCCAAGGTATTCCCCATATTGTATTACTTAATCTGGGGAGGTGTAATAATTCATTGTGTCATAAACTTAAGTTTTGTGCACTTTTGTGAATGTTTGTCATACTACATAACTAAAATTTTTAGAAAGTGCACATAAAAGGGGGATATGTCTTAGTCTAGACACTCTAGGGATCCTGCACAGAAGTGACATTATAACTGAGAGTTGATGAAGTCATGATCTTGATAGGTGATGTTTATAGGAGCAGCCCCCATTACCTCATGTTCTATTAGCTTCTCCTACCAAGGCTAGCCTCACCTGTTTTATTGCCGTTCCTTAACATGCCAAACATGCCTCTGCTTTAGGGCTTGGTATACTTGTTTCCTTTGCTTGGAGTGCTCTTTTCCCATATATAGGTATGGGTAGCTCCTTCATCAGTTTTAAGGTTGTGTTCGTATATTTTCTCCTTCAAGAGACCTAACTTGATTACCTTACTTAGAATTGTATTCCACGCACTCAACCCTATTATGGTCTCCCATAGACATTACCATTTTCTATAATACCATACATTATAATAATGTACTTGTTTCTTATATTTATATTTAATGTTCAATATCTAATGTCTAATATCTACATTATATGAGGGCAAAAGTGAGTTTATGGTTATTCATATGTAAAATAATATAGCAATTAATAAATAATACAAGAATAAATTTTGTTTTGCATATTCACACTGTAAACATACTTTTATCTACCCCTGTATTTGAGGTCTACAAATATAGATCTTTGTCTTTTTTTAAATTTACATATCACACAACTGAAATAATGTCTGGTATCTGCAAATATTATATGTGGGTATATAAGATAAATAGTTTATGTCAATTTTTTATGTGTTCTAGATCAGTCATACCTTGGTACTCGCTGGCTTCAGAACTTTTCATACCCTGTACTCATCGCATTTTGATGAGAAAAAAAAAATGGTTCAGCACTTGGTGCTTGCTCAGGACTCGTTGCACTTGCTCAAACTTATATGAGTCACACGCCACCCACAAGAGAAAATGTTTCATTGTTCGGTATTCATCACTTCCAGCACTCGTCACGAGTACCAGAATGAATTAGTGACAAGTATCGTGGTATCACTCTATGTGTTTTCCATGTATTCACTCCTTGAAACCTCAGAAGAACTCACTGAGCTAGGTACTCCTTTATTCTTTCATAATCTGAAGTTCAGAGGCTAATTAACATGGCCAATGTCACAGACCTAGTAAGTGGAATGATCCATATTTGAATTCAGTTATTTGGCTCATGTTCTAGGAAGTTAATAACTCAACTCATTTTACTATATAAAATAATAGTTAAATATGAAAGGAATAAAAGGGGAAAGTATTTCAGGCAGAAGAAAAAAATACATAGTACATGTCATAAAGTCAACACTTAAAAGTTCATGGAATGTACTAGGGTGAGGGTTAGAGTGCAGAGGTAAAAAAAAAAGCAGGTCACAAAAGATGCATACAGTAAGGTATTACTTAAAATAAAGATTTTAAAATGGCATACTAAATAACATCCTTTTTTGGAGATGGAAAAACTATTAAAATAAGTAAAAAAAATGCAAAACAAAAGTTAGAAGTTTTCCTCTGGTAGAGTGGCATAGGAACTGATTTGGGAGAAGTTTCAAGAAGGAACAAACATATGGAAAATATTATCTTTCTTAACCTGGATGTTGAATACACAAGTGTTCATTTTATTACTATGCTTCTCATTTAATAAATGTTATACACATTTTTATATGTCAAACATCATATATTAAAAGTAAATACATCTAAAAAGTCAATGAAAATAAAAGATAAATGACAACCATTAAAGGAAGATCAAAGTGGGAAGGACAATACTTCACTACATAATTTTTACACACACACACACACACACACACACACACACACACCCCCAATCCTATACACATCTCAGTGAACACAATTTGTGTGATTATGGGTATCACCAAACTTTAAAAGTGACAGGGAGTAGGTATAGGGGAGCAACAGGTGGATAGAATTTTCACTTTTTAGGCTTGTCAATGGATTTTTCTCCATTATTTATATAGTAGCCGCATGATTTTTTATTACATGTAAATGATACCCTGTCACTTCCTTTTTTAAATCATCCCACTTGCTTTCTAAAGTAATCACAGTAAGAACTAATCTTACATACTCTTACAAATACTCATGGATCTGTCTTTAGATTTTTTTCTTTGAATTCATCTCCCACTTATTTTCTTGTCTACTTAATCAGACATTCCTTCTATTCTGGAATTTGCAAGTTCTCCTCTACCTTAAGGGCTTTGCAATAGATGTTCTGTCATCTGGGGAAATGGCTGACAAGTTACCTAAAAGTTTACAGTTTCCCTGGTGAGGGACAATGCAGCTGCTATATCTAGCGCTGGCCTGATGGGAATACCATTTAGACTAGTTTAAACAATAAAGCTGTTATGGTATCTTTACTGCCCTGACTTGTTCTTCAAGTAATCAGCGAACAATATGGTATGCGTTATAACTGCTTTTACTAAACATACCATTTAATAAGTAAATATTTTTAGTATGGATAGAAAATTATTACGTGACTTAAAAGAGGCAATTAAGAATTGCAAATACAAAATATTAGGGTTTTTTTTTTAGAATTTTGGTTGAAATACCAAATTCTTTTCCTTACCTATATGTTCATTCAACTGAAATAATCTGATATCCTTATTACACAAACTGGGACCCTGTATTTCATGATTTTATAGCAATTTGGTTTCTTAAATTTCTGTCATTCAGTTGATGTGTTAAGCACGTGGGATAGAAAATAGAGCTGATCTAGAAAGGACAGCAACCCATAACAAAAGATAGGTAAAAGATATTTCATTTTAATTAACAAATATGGTTTACCTGTGAGCCTGTGGAGTAGCGTCCTGGAGTTCGAGAACCAGATGTTTTCCCTGAGCCAATGGAACTCTCTGTACTTTTGCCACTACAGCAATGTGTCCGCAGGCATTTCCCGTACTCTTTTCTTACCTAGCCAATTAAATATTAACTTTTGTTAGCAAGTCATTCATTTCTGCTAGGAACTAAGATATAAAATATATGAATTTTATTTTTAGGTGATGTAATTAATCCCTTGCCCTACAGATACAAGAAAGGCTGTTCAGCATATTTTTACAATATAGAATAATGATATTCATAGCGTCAAGGATGAAATTTTGCATAGGCTTTAAAACATAGACATGCACGCGCGCGCGCGCGCACACACACACACACACACACACACACACACTTCCAATCCCACCACAACAATACTACCTCTAATACTACCTCTTAGTCCAAAGAACCAAAATGTAAAACTCCACTATTTTTAGGTTCATAAATTTAATATGAAGTACTCTTCTGGTGCAACTGATTTTACACAAAAGTCTAATGAGGAATGTATAGAGAAAAGTGGGGATGGAGAAAGGGAGGGAGAGAGTGAGAGAAAAAAAGGAGCAGGAATATTTAAATACAGAGAAAAGAAATGTGTTGGGCTTAAGCATTTCTTTTAAATCTATATTTCTTTGAAGTTTATGTATCTTAAAAGAGATCAAAATTACAACTTCAGAATATAAGATTAAAATATTTTACATTTATTTTCTCAAAATAGTTCAATAATCACAGAGAAAAGTGATTCCTTTTCTTTATAGCACTGCTGGTTAAATTCTTAATCATGGTTACAATATAAAATTGAAGAAAAAGGAAGGTAAACATTTTTAGTAGATGTTTTCAAACAGGAAACTATTATATCAACAATTCTGGGAAAAACTTTTATCATGTTTAAAATTTTTATTACTGCCTATTTAATCAAACAAGATGTACAAAATAAACAGTAACTGCTCTAAATCATACTTCTACTATCAACATTAACAAAATAATCTTAACTACAGGATCACTACTTGAACACACATCTTGGTACATGATATCAGCTGATTGTACAGCGATAAATTTACATTCATTATGAAGTAACACTGTACAAATGTTATTCTTAGCCCTTTATACACGGATTCCACATGAGTTTATACTTTCCCTACTTGTGACAATGTAATATTTCAATGTAATTTTATTTCAAACAAAATTATGAATATATACTTTTTGAGGAATGTTATTTATAAGTAAAAGCAAACTAAATTGTGAATGATATATTAAAATTAGTAATCACAATATATCTTAATATTCTAAAGTTTATTCTATCAAAGATATAGCAAATTAGATAGAGTATGTTCAGATTTATCTGAAGGACTTATATATAGTAAATGATTATTTTGTGATAGGAACAATGATGGGGAGTCAGGTGAATCAAAGCGTGCCTGCTGAAAACAGGCAGGTGGGCCGAGGAAGGCTTCTCCGGGAAGAGGACTTCTGAGAGAATCTTCACAAGATAACATTGGTATTAGCCAGTTGAGACGGTGACATTGAAAGGAGAGATTGACAAGAGACAAAAAGGCATTCTGAGTGTTTAGGACAGTGTGAGCAAATCAGAGAGGCATGATGTTCCAATCCGTGAGGCATTTTTCTGATATGGAATGTCAAATTATATATTCTTTAATATATTTAAAATTATACTGATATGTTTTCTAATCAATCTCTCCCATGCTACATAGTTATTTGTATTCAGTGTTTATGAGCCAATTCATATTTTGTTTATTTTTAAAAGAAACAAGCCTGTATCCACATGCAAGTGTGTCCAGGATATGCGTGAATTTGTGAGGGTGGAATAAAGAAGCTTCTAATTTTTAATCACCAATTCACAGGAATTGTGCTAGGCTCCGCCCTCATAACAACTCTAGAAGATAATTATTACCTACATTTTATAGATAAGTAACACTGAAAATGTTAAGTAATAAAAATAACCTGAAAGACAAATAGGTTAAGCAATGTGTCTTATGTGAATAAAATCCAAATTTCATGGATGCTCTGTGATCAGAAAATTCTTTCTCAGAGACTACATTTCTAACATTAATATATGATTGAATGAGGCATTATAAATTAATAACATTATTACTAAAGTAATCTATTAGGGTTATTTTCTTTTCTGTATCTGGAAAAAATAAGTACTACTGCTCTAATTAGATTTGAGAGTGCTTAAAATAATCTCTGCTCAATGGTAGGCGCTATCAATTACAGTTTAGTATTTGTCATGAACTTACGAAGCTCCTCCAAAAACCTAAACTTTAATCATAACTTATGTTCTACTTTGTTTTTCCTAACATACTCAACAAGGGATATTCTTTTTAGACAAGAAAGTGTATTTTTATGATGTGATTTAAATATAAACAAATATTTGAGGAGAGAGAGAGAGGAAAAGAGACAAAAGAGTGAAGAAAGGGAACCACTTGCCTCTCTGTCACAAAGGCAGCTATTCATCATGGGATATTTACATTTTCCAGCAAAGTTTAAATGTTCTGAACTGATTATATAAACAACCAGCAAATCAAGATATCTAGTGATGTCAAGTCCCACATTTAACTATATTACTTAGTGGACCATGACCATGAGATATTTATTATTAGATTACAATAAAAGATATTTGGTTGTTCAATTATTGGCATATTCCAATCCACATGATATTCCATCTTACCCCAATCAAGTATAATATGTTACTCTTTCAATGTGAGGTTGTTTCAGAAGAAGATGGGAAAGAAAATATGTCTTACCAATGGCACATTTCTTTTATACATTCAGGTCAGAAATAAAATAATTATGAAACCATTTGAGATGTAACACATAACTGGATTCATAATGAAAGAAAAAGTGACAACTTTAATGTCACCAGTGGGAACAGTAGTGACACAATCATGCAATCCATACTCAGCAAAACGAATGACAACTCGGAGTTTGATTTTTGTTAATGAGTTGAATCCTATAAGCCAAAATATCTCAAAAAGGGAATATTCTATATTTCTCTAATGAAAATACATGAGCAATTACATTAGCAGGGGCATTTGTTGAAATTCAATAGGCAGAGGGAGGTTAAGGATAGTATAGGAAATGGAGAAGCCAAAGAACTTATATGTACAACCCATGGACATGAACTAAGGGGGGGGGTGCTGGGGGTTGGAGGGGGATAAAGAGGAGAAAAAAATGGGACAACTGTAATAGCATAATCAATAAAGTGTGTATTTAAAAAAATAAATTCAATCAAATGGCTTAAGAAAAACCTTAAAGAATTATGATTTTAAAATAGCCGTATTACCCAAAGCCAAGTATAGATTTAATACAATCAAAATCCTAATGGTATTTTTACAGACTTAGAAAAAAATCCTAAAATTTGTACAGATCCACAAAAGACCCCCAATAGACAAAACAATTCTGATAAGAAGAACAAAGCTAGAGGCATCACAATTCTTGATTTGAAAGCATGCTATAAAGCTATAGAAATATAATATAGCATTGTCATAAAAATAGACACATGCAACAACAAAACAGAGAGCCCAGAGCCCAGAAATAAAACCTCGCATATGTAGTCAACTAATAATTGACAATGAACCCAAGAATACTCAATAAGGAAGGGACAATCACTCCAATAAATAATACTGGGAAAACTGGATAAGTACATGCAGATGAATGAAATTGAACTCCTATCTTACACAACTCACAAAATTTAAAGAAAAATGGATTAAAGATTTAAACATAAGATATTAAACCATAAAACTCCTAAGAAAAAAGGAAACAGAGGGGAAAGCCCCTGGACTTTGGTCTTAGTAATGATTTTATGAATATGACAATAAAATCACAACAAAAGCAAAAATTAGTGAGATCACATCAAACTAAAATGCTTTCAGACAGCAAAAGAAACAATCAACAAAATGAAAGGCAATTTACAGAATGGAAGAAAATATTTGCAAATTATATATCTGATAATGGGTTAATATCCAAAGTTTTTAAAGAACTCATACAAATCAATAGCAAAACCAAAACCAAAACCCAAACTATCCAGTAATAAAATAGACAGAGGAACTAGTTATTTTTCCTAAGAAGACATACAAATGACCAGTATGATAGATGCTCGACATCACTAATACAAGCAATGCAAATCAAAACCACAATGAGATACTATCTCACACTTGTTAGAATGGTAATCTTCATGAAGACAAGCGATAAGTGTTGGTGAGGATATGGAGAAAAGGGAGCCCTTGTGCACTGTTGATGGGAACAAAAATTGGCACACCTATGAGAAATAGTATGGAAACTTCTTACAAAATTAAAAATAGAACTACCAAGTGATCTAGCAGTTCCACTTCTGGGTATATATCCAGGAAATAAAATCAGGATCTTGAAGAGACATGTGCACTCTCCTGTTCCTTGCACCATTATTCACAAGAGCCAAGACATGGAAGCAACCAAAGTGTCCATAAATAAATGGATGCATAAGGCAACATGGTGCACACATACAATGGAATACTTTCCAGCCAGGAGAAAGAAGGAAATCCTGCCATTTGCAACAAATGGATAGACCTAGAGGGCATTATGCTAAGTGAAATAAGACAGACAGAGAAAGAAAAATACTGTATAATCTCACTTATATGTAGAATCTAAAAAAAGCGGAACTCAAAGCAACAGCGTAGAATGGTGGTTACCAGAGGTTTGGGGGTGGGAAAATGCGGAGATGTTGATCAAAGGGTACACATTTCTAGATCAAAGATGCATAAGTTTGAGGGAGCTAATGGACAAGATGATGATTATAGTTAACAATACAGTATTATATATTTGAGAGTGGCTAAGAAAAGAGATCTTAAATGTTCTCGCTACTAAAAAAAAAACTATAATTATGTGAGGTGATGGAGGTATTAGCTAAAACTTTAGCGGTAATCATTTCACAACATATATGTGTATCAAGTACAATGTAAATCTTAAATTTACAGAATGCTATATTTTAATTATACCTCAATTTAAAGAATGGAGAATAAAAGAAAAATCTCCTAAGTCCATTTCTACAGGTTTAAAGAGAAGTATCTTTTTTTCAGTAAAAATGGAGAAAAATAATTGTGTTCTTTATGTTCTTTGGTTTAGGCTGTGTTTTTGATGCCAATAAAAATGCCACAAAAATTGAAGAATTCCAAACACAGAATGAATGAAAGAACAATATGCTAATACTTGCTATTATAAAGCATAAAAGTAAGCTTCTATATAAAAGCTTGGTAATTTTTTTTCATGAAGGGCAAGCCAATCAGTATTTTAAGCTTTGTAAGCCAAGAGGCAAAACTAAGGATGTTGTTATGTACTTATTTTAAATTTTAAATGTAACTATTTAAAATATAAAAGTCATTTTTGATTGATAGGCTGTAAAAATTGAAGGAGGCTGAATGAATCTGGCCAAAAAACTGTAGCTTGCTAAACTCTGTTCCAATGAATCACGAACTTGAGTTTGATGGCATAGTTTTAAATTTTTTCAATTATGCTTAATAAATTAAATATACTAAAAACATTAGACTTGGTTTTGGATTCTCATCTATACCTGGATATCAAATGTAATTTCTAGATATACCACTGATGGTATTTGTAGATACCCTTTTCAACTTTTGTTTTAGATGCCGTCAGTCTCTCAACATAAAATTTTAGAGAAAGAGACATCTTTGCTCTTTGTTTTCTTTGTGTTAAAAAAAAATCTAGGCATTTTTTTCATTTCTTAGAAAAAAATTCACATTTTGCCATTTCATTTTGAGAGCATCTCTTAATATTTCATAATTATTACCCCATGTTACACATGAGAAAACTGGAACATGAAAGTTTAATTACCTTGCCAAAGTTATGTAAGCTTTAAATGTAGGACTAGGATTCTGACCCAGACAGCCTTAGTCAGAAGTCTATGTGATCAAAACTATGAATACCACATTTTTAACAGAGCTGAAGAGTATATCCTGAGATTTGAAAAATGCAACAAAAGTATTTACTTGTTAAAACTAGTTTTGAAAATGAATATTTTAGGTCCTTTGTTGATGTGAAAAATCACAAAAATAGACTAGTAAAATTATATATTGCATTCTAATCATCCAACTCCTAGATTGTATAAAAGATGCTTTGGAAGAAAAGTACAGAAACCATTACTAAGTCCTATATCATTCACTCAAAAAATAGAAATTTATCTTATCATAAAATGTTTAGAAATATATATTTTCTAGCATATAAAAACTAGTTTTTAAAGAATCTAAAATATATATATTTCCTATGCCATGACACATATATAATGTGTATATATGTGCATATATAAATATGCACATATATAACATGGTTCCATAACATCCTAGAAAAGCTACTTCCTATTACACAAATTCCATGTATCTTCTAATAAAAATATTAAAGACTGTTAAGTTCAAGTCTACAAGAATATAATTTCTGTGCACTGCCCAAATAAAAAAAATTGATTTTGTTTTTTTAGGTTAACCACATACACCAACTAGAATGCTTATATTTTGTGACTGTTTTGTCCTTAATATTTTAAAATTTAAATCAATGAAGTAATCTACTTCTTAGAGACAAACATGTCAGGAATGATTTTGTTATGGCAGCTTTTCTATCATGGGATGTAGGCCATTTATTCTTGAACAGAGAAATCTAGCTTACCTTCTTTTGTAGAACACAATGGAAAATGAATATAAACATTCCCTGTAGAGAATTGAAAATGGTGAAGAGATATGCCATGATGACTGTGCTTTCATTAATATACATGAGTCCAAAGGCCCAGGTCAATCCTAACAGGCAGAGAAGAGCTATTGCACCTATAACCCATGACCTGCAGAGAGAAGAGAAAATTAAGGGTTATCAAATAATTGGTCTTTAATTAACACAATCATATCATACCAAGAGAAGCGACACTGAAAAAAAATGTTACAGTAAATTTTATTGACAGAAAATGTAAGACAGGTGGTATAAGTACTTTAGCATTTTCATGGGGATACAAGTTTTCAAGTTTGAGGACATACACATGAAAATGTCATGAACACAGAAATTCATTTAAGCCAAAGCAGGTTTGCACTATTAAATTATTTATGTATTTGCCACACATATGGAAATGATATGGAGATGTAATTATAGTGAATGGCAAAGGGAGAAAAAAGTCTATAAAGCTATGATAGCCTCCACTGGTCTCATTGGTATGATAACATTTGTTTGATTGGTCTCTTTCCATTAGTGCTTCAACTGGTATTTTTACCCCATTTTTCCATATTTCCTCTTTTTCCATAAAAACTTTAGTGTATACTGATAAAAACAGAACTCCAGAGGAGCCAGTATGTACATGGAATACATGTATGAATTTTAAAAGTTCTATTTGATACAATAGTAATGTAGAATATGTGTGAGATATAGTGGATGGGAAAAAGTGATCCACTGTCTTTCAGCCTTTGGATTGCCCTCTCTCTCTGCATTCTAAGCTATGATCCACTGTCTTTCAGCCTTTGGATTGCCCTCTCTCTCTGCGTATACATGAATACACACACACACACACACACACACACATATGTATATATACGCGCTCTATATTATGTTGGACTAGACTTCAAAAAGCAGGTAATTGGCAGCTTTGTTGAACAGAAGCTTAAAGGCTCAGGGCACCTTCACCTCTCTGAAGTGTCTGTGAATTCAAGGGAGAAAATGAAGCTGAGGATGGGGATGGAGTGGTATGAACGAAGTAGTCTAGAATGGAAGATGAATTCTCAATCTCACTCCATTCCCCTGGTTTCCTCTAAGCTGCCATTCACGATAGTAAACAATGGGTAGCAAAAGTCCATATATCTGTGGTTATGTGTTATGTATTTACTACCAATACAAAATGAGTATTTCCAATAGATAGGAAATCAATAACTGAAATGGAATCCATCTCAACTCTGAAGTATCTAGGCGAAAAGGACCAAACCAGTGAAGACTGCTATACACTCATGAAACCAACCCATCTTTCCTTTCCCAGCCACACACGTTCCTTGAATAGGGTACGCTAATATTTCTTTTCACCATTATCCTCCACTAACATTAAGGGAGAACTATTCACAGGGATTTAAACTTTGCAGAATGAAGGGGTACAAAATCACAAGTGATTGCCATAAACTGAAGCTGGGTTTAATAAAGTTTTCAGAGAGAACTACATCTTAAGAAAGATATGATCCCAAAGTAGTCAAATATTATCAAAGTCTTATTCAAATTAATCTCAAATATTTACCATTTTTCTTTTACATGAGCCACTGCATTTCAGATTTAAATATCCACTAAGTTTAACATGTGTAATTTAAAACATTAACATTTTTGAATAAAGAATACCTAAGGGAGGCTTGCAATTGTATGTGGCATGTTGGCTTACGATTTAGAAAACATCTTAGATGTTTATATTTTATCCTTCAATTTAGATCCAAATATGGAAACTTTCAAAGTGAAGCTCTCAGCTTCTTACAGGCATTGGAAAAAAGGAAAAATGGGAAGAATCACCATTAAATCAGACATATTGCTATAATCCACTAGAAAACACATAATGGTCCCAAGAGTTAATAATATAAAACTGCAATGAGCCCAATTTCTAAAGAAAAAAATAAGCAAGTGCATGAAAAAATAAGTGAAATGGCATTGGGGAAAATGAAAACAAAGGACTCTTCACCAGAAGAACAAACTGAAAGTCTAGAACAAGGTCACCCAGAGGTTGCCAATCTTAAGTTTATTGTTGCAGGACATATAATTTCAAAACATACAAATAAAAATGGCCAAATATTAACATTTATATTCATTTTTATTTGATTAGTACAGACTTGTAGCTTTGCTTCAGAAATTTAAAAAATACATTTATAAACAATTACATCATCGATCAAGTGAGATGTGTCAAATTGAATGAGATAATATTAGAAATGTAAAATTTAATTTTTCAAGGAGGCATGTTTCCCCTTTTTGGGTATGAAATAGAGAAAGTCATTAATACCAATTGCCATTGGGTAGTTTCATACCCATAGATCATTTTGAAATTATCACAAAATAATTTTAGATGATGTCCAACCAAACAACAGAAATGAGGACATACGTGGTACAGAGGAACACATCACAATGAAAGGAGAAAGCGATTAAGTGTGAAAGCAGTTTGTACCACAGGAGTTGCTATGACTGTGGCACTGAATGCAGGTGAAGTCCAGTTAAAAAAGTGGAGCAGAATTTTTTTTTTTTGGCAGTACTCCTGCAGCATATTAATTCTGCAAAGAAGTTGTATGCCTGATTTTTTTTTCCTGCACAGTTTGCTCTTCTGCCTCAATGTGAATGACAGAAGCTCTAATGGTTTTTTAGTACGGATCTGACAGCTGGTTCATGGGACCACACTGATAAATGGAATTTATCAGCCATTCAGGTCATTCTTACTTGATGAAGGGTCTGTTATCCTCATAGCTAAAGAATGCATAGACATAAAGACAAGAACACCAACATTAGCATTTTATGACAAAGAATTTCATATGAAAAATTTTCTGGTCCCCAAAGGCCTCTGTCCCCCACCTCCCTGAGAGGCATCATAACCTTCCCTTTACATCAAAAAGGTAAATCTTAAAATGAGCGTGAGAACTTAAATAACAAGGAATAAAGTCAATTTTACGAAACTGTAATATTCCTTATGAGACTAAGAAATTCCATTTTTTTCATCATGTGTTCATATTACTTGTGACTTGACAGAGACATTTATTTCTTAGAGATTGCATTTCTCTGGAGAATGAGAAATCTTATGCGCAATCTGGAAAAGGCTTAGGGGCATACTTAAAATGACAGATTTCATGTCACCTTATTCTGTAATATTAGTAGGTGAGATTACTTAATTATGGACAGTATGCTTCTAAGTAATTTTAACTTCAGATAATTGACCTGAGTTAAATCTGAACATTATAGCCCTTTGAAAATAATTGATCCTGACTACTTTAGAATTCTTTCTGTTAGTTTACTGAGAAAAAAATTTGAATAATCTTTCATAGTAATAGGAGCAAACATACAGCACCTGTTCATTATCACTTATATTTACTAATTTATTTGGTATCATTCTGATAAAATAAGATCCCAGTGCTAGCAAAGGTAAGTTAAGGGACATTTTGGATCTTTTTTATTTCAAGCACAGATGCTGATCAGTGAATTGAGAAAGAAAAGGAAGAGAAATTGCCTGTCTGCTCTTTTCTCTTACCTCTTGCCAGAGGCAATAGTTTCTGATATTATGCATATACAAATAAGCTTTCAGAAAGGCCCCAACTGTGATGCATTTTGAATAAAGAGAACTACTGATGAAAACCTCACTCTCAGGAATGATGAAAGAGTAAAGAATGGAGTGAGAGCTTGAGATTTAAAGCCAGCTTGCTTGGCGTTTACATCCTACTAGCTATTTGATCTATGTAAAATTTTAACCCATGGTTTTGTCAGTTTATGCATCTACAAATGGTGATAATTTTAAGTTTCTGGTAATAATGAAATGCTATGTTACATATAAATGGCTAAAAACAGTGCCAGACACATATTGTGTTCAGTAAATATTACATAATGATTATGTTTTTAAAGCTAGAGTACAGTCACACTGAAAATACAGAATTTCTCCCCCAAAGAATAAAGCACCAAATCATAAACATTAAGCACCTATATTCATCTGAGTATGTTTCAGGGGTAATATTATGCAGTAAAGTAGATATAGTGGAAGTAAGTTTGTAGATCGAGCAGGCAGTGACTAACTGTGCTGTCTAACATGGCAACTACTGGCCACATGGGTTTATTTAGAGTTAAATTTATTGCAATGAAATAAAGTTTAAGGTTCAGTTCCTTAGTCACACTAGTCACACCACAAGTACTCAAAAGCTTCCAAAGCTGCTGTATTGGGCAGTGCAGTTCTAGAGCATTTATGTCCTCACAGAAAGTTCTGTCGGACTGGGCTTGACTAGAACATTAAAAATTGTTTAAATTAAGAAATGAAATTTCAAGAGATAGTTAAATAATGCCATGGATGTGTGAAAGATAAAGAGAAAAGTGTTTCTAAGAATTGATCCTATTTAATAGTTGTGAACTGTACCTAGAAAGCCTGTACATACATCAATATGAAAAAGTTATATAACATAATGTGATAATTATTTCATTATATGCATTCTCATTGTATCAGTATGTCCCATCTGTGATGCCAAGTTCATGAATGGAACGACTTACTACCTTAATTTGAATAGCACATGGTCCAGCAAAGTACTGAGGTTAGCATACAGAAGTGTATGCCAAAATGCTCTACAAAACTGTACTAAGCAATCCAAATATTTCAAAATGTAAGATACAATACTTGCAATATAATTGCCAGAGTGAGATCTTTTACCTTTAATGTGAAATATCAAAAAAGAGATATCAGGGTGCAATGCAGCAGATTTTGTTGGCAATTGTGGGGATCAGCCAGTTGTACCAGTCCAGAATAAAGATTTTAATTCTACTTTCACTTACAGTTAGCTACAGCCATGTGTATAAATGGTGTCCATTGGGATGTGGAGAGAAGTGAATTGTGGCATTTCTGGGTCTTGACAATTAAAGGGTTGGACCTGGGCTTCCCTTGGCCATTTTTCTCTCCACTTTTGCTAGGGGAAAGTGACGGTAGAGCCTCAGACCCCTAAATTGAAGCTATTTATTAACATGGAACTACCACATTAGACTTACACCAACTCCTAGATTCTTGTAAATTTAAGGTGCCATATTTTAGAGTATTTTTTTATAGTGGCTTAGCCTGTGTAATAATTAATAGAACATTTAATTTTACCTTTTAGCAATAAGAATTCCCAGTTCATGTCCAAAATAAAAATTCATGTTAATGAAAAAGAAAGATTCATTAATTTTGCTTCTAGAATGACATACATAATATACAATGGTTCGAAATCCAGACATCACTGAAGATTATTATAATATGTCAGTGCTTTCCATCATTTTTTCAGATACTCTCTACTGGCTTAGAGAATCTACCTTTATAATATCTCTCCACCAGATTGTAATGATGCAACAGTTATGCTGGAAAGTCTATACACTCTTGATGCATTATTTTAATTCTAAAAAAAAAGCAATCTGCAAAACTAGTTTCTAAAGCTAAGTAATTTTCATTCTTATTTACCAACACAGGTCTATTGAAACAAAATCTCATTCCAGGATGTAAGACTAAACCAATTTTATGGCAGCTTTTTAACTATTTTATAAAAATATGGACTCAAAGGCCTAAGATGCTCTTGACAATTGCTAACAAACATGTTATTTTATAACTTACAATAAATGACGTGTTGAAAATAAAATTACTTGTACATACAATTTTTAAGGAACAAATAATAAAAACAGACCCTCCTTTAGTAAACACATTTTTCTTTTGTCAAATATTTTATTATTTTATTCTTACTAACATCTAAAATTAATAACTTAATTTAAATCTTAATGTCACATAATTATCTTTAAAAGTCATCATAAAAATCAAAATTAAAAATTTTATGGGTCTTTACATAGATAATAAATATTTATATTTATATATTCTATAATAATTCAAAAGCATAAAAAAGGGCTATTAATATCTAGCTCCATGGAAGTGTAGCTCAAGATACATCTTCAGAATAGATTTCCTGACCAAAATATTAACTTATAAATCAATGTTGTGATGTAAGGACTCATAGTATATCAAAATAGATAATGGACATAATCAAGTTAGTTATAAAATATGCTTTCTCTAACTTTGAGTCCAATATAAAATATTTTTATTCTAAAATTTAATATAAAGGAGATAAATTATTTTAAATGGTTTAAGACTTGCCCTTATATTTCCCTCCTATACGGTTGGCTAAAAAGTCCATATTGTATTTTCTATAAAATAAAAGACACATTTTCATTTTTGCCAATAACTTCACTGACTTGGATATTTTGAGTATGTAGGCTGTCTCCCACAATTGGCTTCTAGTGGGTAGAGGCCAGGGGCGCTGCTAAACATCTTGCAATGCAGAAGACAGACCCACAGCAAAGAAATATTTGGCTAAAATGACAATAGTTCCAAGAAACTTTGCAAACCACCTTTGACATGTTTGATCAGTAACAGCACCTTCTTCATACACTGCACATTTTTTTGTGTGTGTTTCAGTTGCATTTTTACCTTTCTTGATATAATAAAGCATAATATGCTGAAAATGGGTATTTTCTCCCATCTTCAATATTGAAATAGCTGCACAAAAATTTACCCATTTTGATGTTTTTTAATGCATGCTAATATGACAGTTGTCACAATACAATCTAAAAAAATTGCTTTTAATGAAGTCAAAGACAACAAAGCACCAACAGCATCATCGTATGGAAAAAACTAAGTGAACTTTTTGGTCAATCGGATATTATATTTATATGACATAGAATTTTTTAAAATAGGGAGATGGGTAAGCTTTGATGTAAAGAAAAATGAAGTAATGAGAGGCATATTTGCATATTTAATCCCTAAGCCCAGAGATCTGGTCATTTATAAATCACCTACAGGTAAAGGAAAATGAATGACTTAGGTGAAATTGTTGACCCCATCGATTTAAAGATCGATGCATTCTGGGATCCTCTGGAATTCGTGGGGAATTAGTTAACTGGTTTACGGACTGAACTCAATGTCTAGTAGCACAAAAGAGAGTTATCATGCCATATATCCTGATTAGTATACGAACATTTCCAAGTTCACTATCCAGCTAAATTACTTTTCCTGGTATAAAACTAATTTTATCAAAGGGATAAAGACCTTTTCCTTGAATTTGGTTTCGGTTACTGTAGGAATGATAAAGGTGATGTGGGTGAGCTCCTCAAGATAAAATTAGTCTTTATTCTTCAAAGAAGGAAAAAAAGGCAATAAACACTTATGTATTTGTAGGTTAAGTGGGTTTTCCTTATTGTCCATCAATCAACAATGAAGCTCCCAAGCTGAGGACTAGAGGATTCAGTTACCATATTCTAAAAGAAGCCAAGTTAATAGACTTTACTTAAAAGTGATCTCTGACACCATGCTTTGCCATACTACCAATCTAGGGGTCCCCAATTTTTAAAACTGGAAGAGTAAAGACAAGGCCTTATAGAATTGCAATGTTCACAGAATATATGAAACAACGGAAACAGAAAGGGAAGAGACACCTTTACTTACACTAATCCTCCAACCACAAATTTTTAACAGGCAATGGAGAAAGAATTACTTACTTACTTACTTATTTATTTATGAACGATTTTATTTATTTATTTAGAGAGAGGGGAAGGTCGGGAGAAAGAGAGGGAGAGGAACAGCAATGTGAGAAGGAAACATCAGTTGGTTGCCTCTCATATGTGCTCCAACCCAGGACAGGCCAGCAACCCAGGCATTTGCCCTGACCAGGGATTGAACTGGTGACCTTTTGCCTTGTGGAACAATG